GGCCTTTGGTTGATCTTGGAAGGCACTGCTGCAGAAGGCATCCCAAGGGCACAAGTCCAGAGGTGCCTCGGCAGCAACTGTTTCGTTCGGTGAGTACACAGTTGCAAAACGAGTGTGCCGTCCCACAGAAGCCAGTCTCCTAAGTGCCACAAGCGCTCTCTGTTTTGGCTGCCCTTCTGGAAGGGATCAAGTGAGACCTGTGACAAAACTGTAGTGTGGAGCACACCTGTGCAAGATGCCAGACAGGCCAACATCTTCCAGGGTGGTCCATTCCATTTACCATGTTTGCTTCCATCATTCCCAACCATCATTGGCATGCTCAGTTCCCAGCAGCTTGTTTTTGGGTCCCCTTATGGCAATGTGCATGCATGTTCAGGTGCTGCATGCATGCACAGCCATGTTTTAGAAATAAGAGATGAGGTGGGGGTCCCTCCTTCAGGCTTTTCCCTCGGCCAGATTTGCTGTGCTTCTGCAAACCTTGGGCTTAGCTGAGCTGGCTGACACCTCTCTTGTTGGAGTGTGGCCTTGTCTTTCCCACATCAGCATCAGCACCTTGGCCCATCTGCCAGACATGGAACAATGACACAGCTTCTAACGCGGCTGGTGCCTCACCATGCAGAAATGAGAAACACAGAGCCGAGCTTTTATTCACTGTCAATGCAAGACTATTAGGGAGGGAAGGAAGAGACGGAGCCTGTGTGGCAAAATGGTTAGAGTGCTGAACTGGGATTCTGGAGATCCAGATTCTGGCCCCCAGTTGGCCACAAAGCTCCCTGACTCTCAGTCTAACACACCTGACAGGGTTGTGGCAAGGAAAAAAAGGGGGGAAGGAGGAGCATTATGCAAGTCACCTTCAATCACTTGCAGAAAAACAGGCACCACATAAATTAATAAAAATTAAGGAGCCTCAAGCAGAAAAATCTAGGCTGAATACATGCCACACTCATTCTTGTATTGACTTGTTCATCATCTTGTGCAATGAATGAGGAAAAATGTCACTGCTTTGGTACAGCAAAGCAATGATTTATACAACCAAAGTCAACTTTGGATAATCTTGTATTGCATCAAGTTTGGTCTTAAGGTGTGAATAAGATAAAGCACAAACACACAGATTTTTCACAGGGAGAAAGGGAATTTGCCGGTCTGACCATTCAGGAAGCTCAACAAAAGTAGGAGAGTGTGTGTGTGTGTGTGTGTGTGTGTGTGCACACATGGGGGTGAGGAGCTAAGAGAAACACACACTTTAATCTTTAATCTTCTGAAGCTGTGGATTGAGAGAGCTTTTTCTAGATCAATGAATTTCTACTTGATGCTGTTTTGATTCTAACTTTAATGGCTGGTTTCCATGCTACTTATTAGAAAGTTGATATTTAAATGATTCAGGGAAATCTATCAACCCATTGATTGCAAGGAACCCTGTGTTTTTCCCTTGCCAAAATCCTAAATGGGTAAAGGAAACATTCAGCTGAATGCAAAAGAGATTTAACAGATCCTTCCAAAGCAGAAGGATAACCATATTCTTGCAGGTGATTCCAAGCTGCAAGGTACTTTCCGAATTCCCTGCTAGATCATGAACAGTGAGTAGGCTTTATAAATCAGCTATCCTACCATCTCGAACAGATTGTATTTACATACTTCTCAGGCTAAAGTCAGGCTGACAGGATAAATTGTTGCCAAATGTTAATAGATGTGTTGCCAAACAAATGGAAGAATGTTATCATATAAGAAGGGGCGCCTGGAGGTGCCCATGTCAGCAGGGCTCCTCATCCACTGCAGCTGTTAATTTGAGCGTTATGAGAGCTATCCGTGGTGCTAAATGACTTCCTCAAAGGCAGTGCATCATGGATTGCTCCTCCATCACCCAAAATAAAAGTTGTAACAGTTCATATAGGAATCACCAGCCTCTGCTGCCTGTAAGTTTAACAAATGTGCCATTATGTACATTTTTAAAGGAGGGAGAGTTTGGCCTTGCCTGACTCTAATCTCCAGTTGGACACCATAATTTCACTCACTGAACCATACCTGCAAACTGCCATAGGGATTTTTCTTAAACTTAATATTTTAACATTATTTTGAACATCCCAAAAGCATGTGCAGAATCCATTAGGAACATAAGTAGGGGCTGGAGGAAATCTACATGTAAATGTATCTGTTTGCTACATTTCAATACTGCCTAGTCACCGATGGTCTCTGAGAGATGCTCAACCATTGACACCATAAAATAAAGCATGATAAAAGATGACCTAAAATTTTAAAAGCATCATATAAAGCCAAGGCAAAAAACCACCAGCAGTGCAAAGATTAAGAAACACAACAACAGATTTGAAAACAGCCAGACTATAGAATGAAAATGGGCCGAGGCACCAGGGCAGTGGGCTCTTGTGCGCCTGGGCATCTGTGTGACACAGTGCTTCAAGGGCCATGGCGTGCAGGGCTAGAGCAGATGGCCTTTCTTCTTTCCTAAAAATGTGCAGGATTGCATCTGTTATGCTTCTCTTTGCAAAAAAGGATCTAGGTTCTAGTCCCAAATTCGATTCAGCACCGTCAGTGAAGAGATACCGAAACAAACCTGAGCTCAGGGCTGATGGAGAACTCCCATTATTTCCACTAACTGCAAACTCAGGGATTTCCATCTGCTTGAAAGCTATTACTGTTATTGATGGGGCCCTCCATCCCCACAATAAAGCTGTGGTTTTTACATATTCAAGGGACCCCAATAGTATGTTGGACATATGTATAGACATACAGAAATGTCTGTAAGCTAAAAGAAGGTTTAGGAAAAGCAAGAGGTTGTTTATTGGGTGGTTGCAGAGGAGGAAACCAGGGATGAGTGAGGACACAGGGAGATTTTCCTGCCTAAACCTCTAACAGCTTCACTCATCAATTCATTCATTTTTATTTATATCCTGCATTTCATGAAAAACCCAGGGCAGCTAACAATCGTATCCTAAATCAACCAACAAGAAATACAAGAAATAAGCTTCTAAGAGAACAAATAGAAAATCAGATGACAAAAAGGCACTCGTGCATCCAATCTTACTCATGTCAGTGGTAACTAAAGGCTAACAAATGACCAAGCAAACAAAGGGGTTCCTGACTGAAAATCCCCAGATCCTCCAAATGCGTCGTCACCACACGGAAACCTACATCTCATGATGCCATTTGCTCTATGTTCCCAAAGGGGTGAACAACAAGATGGGCTACCTCCAGGGTCTAGAACCGTAACAGTGAGAACCAAAATTATGTTACGATGCTTCCCTGAACAAGAACACTCCTTTTAGGAAGGAGATAGGGGTTTTTCGTTGCAGGTTCTACATGCTGTTTTTAAACCCAGTCTAAAATTCTAGCAGACATTCTGAAATGTGCCACACGCCTGCTTGCTCTTCACCGATTCTCCATTGCTGCTCTTTCACCAAGAGTAACTTCATATGACCCTCTTTCCAAGCCATGAGAATCATGGAGTACCTGTGCAGGATCATGTGAACTCCAGACCTTTCGTGAAGCCCTTCACATTTAATCCCAAAGAGATTGTGGTGATTATGGTGATAATGTGATTTATATCCTGCTCTTCCTCGCAAGGAGAGTACAACATACCAACATCATTAAAATCATAACGATAAAGGTGTAAACATAGTAAAAGAACATAAAACTAAAACTGAAACAGATACAACACTTGATTTTTCCTCTTCACCCATACGAAGAATATTTCTTTAGCTAGTGCTAGAACTGACAGCAGGATTGAGGAAACTGAGGGAACTGAATCTCTCCTGGAAGGGAGCTCCAGAGAAGGGGTGCCACCACAGAGAAGGTTCTGCCATGCATGGGCCATATTTCTCAAGGGCCCCACAAGCAGAGCCCTTGATAAAGAAGTGCCTGAAGGTCTAATTGATCGCTAAGAAGTAAGTTTGTCCTGTCCTTCAGTATCCTGGTCAGTGAATGTCAGGGCAATGAGATCATTGAAAAGTGCTAGGAACTTATTGCAAAATTATCTAAATTAAATATTTTATTAACATGTAATACTATACAGTTCTATGTGTACATAAGTCCAATTCTGTTAATTTGGGCTTACTTCCAAGAAGATGGATACAGAATTACAGCCTAAAGAATTTTAAAGTTTCAGGCTAGATGCATTTCCTGTTCTGACTGTTTTCCAGTGAAAACCGACCATGACATTTCTGGTGCTAGATCCATCTCTTTTCTTAGAGTCCCCTGAAACATGCACATTTTCCAAAGATCTCTTCATCTTCACAGCCAAGGAAGATGAAGTATTCGTGGATGCAGACTGCATCTGCTCACATCCACCCCTCTTATCCTTGACTCTCCCATTCCAGACTCAGCCCAGCCTTGTCTCATATTTTCTACCTTTTCTGTCTCTGCTCCGTCAATATCAGATTTTATTAGTATTATTCACTCATGCTACTCTATGTATGCTGAAGGTGCTGCACAGGAAGAGATTATAATAAAATAATAGCATTTTCTTGCAGTATTTCCCCATCAACTCATCTGCAGTCTTGCAATACTTAAGGCACTCACACTGGAACATTCTTCTAAGAGAAACATGGGCAACATGGGCAACAAATACCTTCATGCAGCCAAAAAGCACCTGAGAGTAAAACACATGCATGAAAACACCCAAGATCTTTAAGAAAGGATAATTGGTAATGCTGAATGAAATGACGCTCAGCCAGAACCTACCAAAACACCCGTCCACAAACAGCATGATTTCGATGGACATTACTGCTCACAGCCAGAACTATGAAACAATTCCTCTGCCCCTGTTACCTTATTATCCAAAGCTTAAAGTTTTTGTCATGAATGCTAGCATATAAAATGCCCATTAAGTCATTTGGAAGAATTAAAATGATATTTGCATGTCATATTTTCTGCAAATAATTGAGTCTTGACTTGGGCAGGCATTGGAAAAGCAAGCAAAATGCTCCCTCTCACTCGGGGGCTTTGTTCCAAATCAGGTGAAGGTGAGGAGAAAGAGGCCTACCTACCTCTTCCAGTGCCCATAGTGAATCCACCAGAGGTTTGATCTTCTTCTCATTGTACAGTTTTATGAGCTTGTCCATTACATCGTTAATCAGGCCACTTCGGCCTTGTTTGAAAAGCAGGTTTAAGAGAGAAAACCCAGCCATGACTTTGTTTTCTTCATACAGCTTGATGGGGTTCACTTTCTCCACTTGCCACCACTAGAGACAAGCAAACAGGAAGACGATTAGTGTTTCAAACATCCCGGCCTTGTACAGTGTCATGGGGGTCCGAACAGAGATGACTCGTGGTGAAACAGAACTTGTTCTCCTGGTAAAGGACAGTGAAAAAGCCCTCAACATCCAGGCAAACAGTATGTGGAAAGGGCAAATATGGGTTAGGGCCCTGGGGGGGGGGGGGCAGGGAGTTCTTTTAGGGGTGGCCCCCCCCTGTAGACCCCATTTGGGGGGGGGGGTGGGGGGGGGGGGGCACAGTCCTGCTACTAGGATTTGCACTGGAGGAAGTTTCTTGGTAGCACAGATGGGCTCCTTATTTCCCATGAGAACCCCTCCCCACTTCCACTGCTCTTGCTGCACCTCCAGGAAGCCATTCATACCACTGACAAGCATGTGAATGGCGTCCTTTCACACAGGGGTGCCATCATGGCAGGCACGGCTGGCTCTTGCCAAGGGCCCACACGCCAGGCGGCTCCCCCTGTCAAGAGCCCCTGAACTTGCCTGTCCACTTCCTCAGGGCAACCTGCTTGTTTACCTGCCTCACTCTCTGGCCAGGCCACAGCGGGGGGGGGGGGGGCAGGGAGAAGAGCAGGAGACGTCTCAGCCTTGCTGCTCCTTGGGCTTTCTGCCTGTCCAGAGACCAATGGCTGGCGAGGATGAGGAAGGGGGTGAGGAAGAGCAACGGCAGATGATAAGCACAGTGGCAAGAAGGACGAGCCACTGAGTGAGGGGAGCATTTTGGCACCTTGCCTGCACCCATCAAAAACCTGGAAGCAGCACTGTTGCAAGGCCACGGACCTGTTGCATCACGTGCCGTGGCTTCAGTCTCGCTCGGCGGGTGGGAGGGCGGAGCTCACTCAGCCCTTCTCAGGTCCTGAAATTGTGTGTGAGGGTCTTCCAGGATTATGCTGCGTAGTTCCCCCATGAGACGCAGGCTGCCCACATCTTCCACCACCCGTGCGCACACCAATGTGCACATCAGAATTCCTCAGGCTGAGTGAGCAAGATTCTGAGCAGTCTAGCCCCCCCCCCGCCCCCAACTCCACACCTGCCACCCACTGCATTCTGCCATCCTGAAGACCACATCCCAGTTCAGCCCTAGGGCCACATTCCAGGTGGGGCTGCAAGCAAATGGGGTGGTTCCAAAATAACAAAAATATTTTAGGTTAAAGCTCACACAGTTGGGCAGAAACCCGCAGGAGTGTTTTGGGAATTATGGGAATGGATGGAGAAACTGTGTGAATACAGAACCTATTGAAGGATTAGCCTTTTGGGGCAAACAGGGAAGGGCGTGTGGCGTCTGGGGAAACGGGAAGGACGGAGGGGGACCTGAGGGACTGGCCAGTCTTGCTGTACCTGGCCCTGGGCTTAGTACTTCCCTGCTTCTCTTCCTGAGTTTCGACTGAAAACCTCCAAGAATGGCTGTGTTTCATTTAAAGCACACGGAAACAAGTTAGGAGAACATTCACGTGACTCCTGTGCAATGCCTGACTTGGTCCTGAAACTGAAAAGGGTCCTTCACAGCACATTGTTAAGGAAGAGGGAGAAACAGAAAGAGAACAGGGGACTAGCAGCCTGGCAGTCCCCGAAAGCAGCAGGACTCCTATAGATACGTTCTGTCTAGTGGAGCCAGAAGAGCCTTGTACTTACTGATTTTGCAAAGCTGAAGAAACTTTTGGTTTCCCCCGTAACCATGTTAGACGAGCCTGAAAAAAATGGTTGGGGTATAAAGAAAGAAACTTCATTACTTCAGATGCTGCTCACAATGTGCCATGAAAAGCAAGTCTATGAATTTGGGTGCTGTTAGTCAAACGTCTTGAAAGAGCTCCTCCATTCTCTTGGCAAAGGAGTGCTGAGGCGGAAGCACACACCTGCACTGCTGTGGGGACTCCAGATTCCACTTCTGCAACAGGGAGATTCTGCATCCGCTCAAAAGTTTACTCCAAACTTTTGAGTCATCCATGGGACCAAACCTGTTGGATAGAGGAGTTGACACCATGGATAGCTCCTATAAAGGTCAGGCTAAAATGCAGAATTCCATTTTTACTGGAACCTCTACTTGCTCCTAGTGGTGTTATAAGAACCCGAAAAAGCCTAAATTTTCCCTCTGATTGCCTTCTAATCCCCCACAGTAGCATAAGGATCCCTAAACCATTCAGCTCCTTGTTCTACCTGACCTGGTGACTGGGTTAGCCAGTGGCACATTCATGGTCAGCTTTCCCCCCTCTTTTCATAGTTGTGTATAACTACATTTATGCAAAAGTCTGTGAAGTCAACAGCAAGCAAACAAATCCATGTCCCATTTGTATGGAGTCTGTGCAACTCAGAAAAATCCAGTCCACTGTGGTATCCACAGGCTGGATCTACAGAAGTTCTAGTTCATTTGACTCAGCTGTACAGTTCTCTGATTTCCATAATGTCTACAGGGTGTTCATTACTTTACTTCTGCAATGCCCAAAGCACTTGCCCTGTGGCAGCTTGCAGCTGAGGTGCTGCTCTTGTGGTGCTCTAGGTGCAAAGGGGCCTTGAATGGCATCTCATTGCTATTGCTTTGCCCCAGTTAAAAAATGGAAGAGAAGCTTTGGAGGGAGGCTAAGATTGAACAGATGAAGCTTTGGAGGAAGGGCGGTGGTGGTGCAATTAAATAAATGAGGCTCAAACTTGAAACAGTTTGGACTTAGCTCACCTTGGCACAAGGCTTTCCTAAGTGGGGAACAGTATATTCCTACCTGCCTGCATTACAAGTTTGCCTCCAGCACTAAAAAGTTAGTTTTCCTTACTGCAGAAATTAATGTCCAAGACCTAAAATGGCAATCCAGTATGTGGTTACTTATTTATTTATTATTTGTTAAAACATTTCTATGCCGCCCCATTCGCCGAAGCCTCAGGGCGGCTCACAACATTAGGTTAAAATACAAGAAATAACAATATAAAATAAAGTAAGTCACCCTGGCCAGATAAAATAATACAAGAAATAACAATATAAAATAAGTCGCCCTGATATAAAATAAGTTGCCCTTAGAAATAACAGCTCCATTGTGTTAGACAGGGCTTACTCCAAGATCAGTGTTCAAATGCCCTACGTTCACTAAAAGGAGTGCCTACATCTTGTACATGTAAAGCATAAGGAAATGTATACAAGAAACAAAGAAACAGAGAAAGTCAGAAGGGGCAACCTGGGCCATCTAGTTTAACCTCCGGCTCCAGCCGGCTCCACTCATGACATGCCCACCATGTGCCTGTCCAAACTACCCTTGGACACCCTCACCGATGGGGCCTCAGCCACCTCCCTTGGAAGCCCCAGGGATCCTATCTATCAGTCCTAACTTCCTGACATCCAACCTGTTTTTGTGGAAGCCGTGTTGCATGGCGCCAACCTCCCTTCTGTGTTAAGGGTTACTAGATCTCTCGCTATTATGAGCCTTTCCTTTGTCTTTCCTAGAATGGATGTAAAACTAACCAGTTGGTAGTTCCCCATGTCCCCTCTACTACCCTTTTTGAAAATTGAGACCACAGATGCCACCCTCCAGTCCTCTGGAACTTCACCCATTCTCCACAAGGCCTCAAAAATGGAGGCCAGTGGGCATGAAAGAACCCCTGCTAACTCTTGAAGTACTCTTGGGTGTAACCCGTCAGGGCCTGGTGCCTTTGTAATGTCCAGTGGCCTGAGGATCTCTTCAACTTCTAGTGGGGGTGACTGTAATCTGTGCCCCTAAATCCCTGGTCTCATCCAGTCCCCCATGTAGATCTCTCCCATCCTGTTTTGCAGAGAACACAGAGGCAAAATAATCATTTAGCATCTGTGCCTGTTCCCTCACATCAGTCACCAAATTCCTTTCTTCCTTATTAAGTGGTCCTACCACCTATCTCCCCTTCCTCTTGCTATTTACGTGTTGATAGAAGCCCTTTTCACTGCTCTGATATTCTTTGCACGTCTCAGCTCATAATCAGCCTTAGCCTTGCGAAGAATCCTTTTGCAATGGGCCTCCTCCTCCTAGAATACCCCTTTGTTTACTTGCCCCAGTGCCCATTTTCTATGGAGGTTCCTCTTACATCTAATCCCTCTTGCCACCTCGTTTCACATCCATGGCAGCTCTCTCCTTCGCCTCCCTGCCTTCCTAACTAGTGGTATGGTCAGGGCTTGCACCTCCAAGACCTCCCTTTTGAGTGCCATCCACCCCTCCTGAACTCCCTTGCCTTCCAGTACCCTTCCCTCAGTCTGGCCTTCAATTGACCAAAGTGGGCTCTTGTGAAGCCCCAGCTTCTAGTACTGGCTGCTCATCCCCATTTCCCGATCTCAAAGCAAAGGATCGAGTGATCACAGCATCCAGGGCTCCCCTAATCTGCACCCATCTATTAGCTCCTCCCTGTTGGTCGAGTCAAGGATATTTTTCTCCTTTGTCACTTCCTGGACCCCTTGCACGGAAATCCCTCCCTCTATAGCATCCTGGAAGCAACGTGACCTGGCCGTACTGCAGAGTGAGTCTCCCAACTGTCTGGGAGACTGAAATTGCCCATAATTACTGGGTCCCTCCTCTGAGAATTCCTTCGAATCTGGTCTGTCAGGGCATCCACCAGGGTCTCAAGTTGACTTGCAGGATAGCACAAAGTCCAGGAAATTGCCAGAAACTGTGTCAAAGAAGCTCTTAGGGAGAAGAAAGCTTCCTTCAAAAAAGGGAATTCTTGCCCAAATGGAAGGAATGGATGGGATCACAAGCTTGTACAAGGGAGATGCCAGCAGACAATCAGAAAAGTAAAGGAACAGTTTAAGGAACACTTCGCTACCAAAATCAAGGCTGACAATAAAAGAAAGAATTCTATAACTGTCAAAAGAAAGTGGCTAAGTAAATGTAAAAAGTAAATGTAAATGTAAAAAGTAAAGAAAATGGCTTTACTCCCACTTGATAGTGGGAGTAAAGGAGCAGTAAAGGGGGACAAGGAGATTGCAGAGAAGTTGGATGAATCCTTTTCATTCATCTTCAGTGAATCGGCATTTATCTCCTGCACCGTTCACAGATCCTTTGGACTTCTGGAATGTCCTTCCCATGCTTGCAACTCGCGTCTCTTCAGAGGGGAAAAGAAAGAGAAAAGGGAATGGAAGGGGGAAGGGGCTCCCCTGCAGGGCAGCTGCCCTCGCCCTTTCCCACCCCTCCTGGGGGCAGTTGCTGGATGGGCTCTCAGGTTACAACTCCGAGCGGCTACCATGGGCCACATCAACCCAAGAGCTAATGGGGGATTGGCCTGAAAGCATCAGTGGTGGTGGGAGCCTGGTGCTTACTCGTGACCAGAGGTATTCTAACGGGTGGGAGCCCCGAACTGCTGCGTGGGCTCTCTGGCATGCATTTTCTAAAAGACATTTCCTTCGGAAGGATCCTTTCAGTGGGGGAAGGACAGCTGCTGCTTGCTGCCAAAAGCAGCCTTTGTGTATGTGGCAGATATGGGCTCAAAGCCCAGTTCCCTTCTGGCCGCCCTCCCTCCGCTCACCCAAGTATTCTTTCAGCACAAGAAGTGAAACCCTTTCAAGAGAAATCCTGGCTTTGTGGGGAACACCGCCCAGATTTCTGCCGCATGTTTTGCACCTTTGTCTTTTGTGACAAGGCAGCTCTCTCCACCACTCAGTTAGTAGGGTCAGGCTGGGGCTACAGCTGGCGGCATGTAGGAATTATTCACATGTAATGCCAGTCCTCTATCATCTACACTGCCTACTGATTGAAGTCCGGGCCCAGTTTAAGGTGCAGGTGATGACCTATAAAGCCCTAAACAGCTTGGGTCCTGGATCCCTGAAGGAGCGCCTTCTTTCCTTCATGCCCTCCCATCCCTTCAGATCCGAGTCAGAGGCCCTCCTCTGGAAGCCATCCTTGGGCCTTCTCTGTGGTGGTGCCCTGACTGTGGAACACGCTTCCCAGAGAGGTCTGCCTGGCCCCAACACATTTTTCCTACTGGCACCAGGCGGAAACCTTTTTATTCTCCCAGTATTTTAGTTGTTAACTTGTTTTAGTTAGTGGGTTTATATTTTAACATTGGATGCTGGGCAACTGTTATTTTTATTTATTTATTTTTCAATTTATATCCTGCCTTTCTCCTAAAAAGGTCTCAAGGCAGCTTACATCTCCTCCTCCATCTTATCCCCACAACAACAACCCCATGAGGTAGGTTGGGCTGAGAGTCTGTGACTGGCCCAAAGCCACCCAGTTGCTTCCATGGCTGAGCGGGGACTAGAACCCAGATCGTCTGAGTCCCAGTCCCATGCTCTTAACCACTACACCACACTGGTTCTCATTTTTATTTCTATTTTTAGAATTAATTTGTTGTAAACCGCCCCAAGTTGTCTAAGCATGGGACAGTATAGAAAGGTTTTAAACAAATAAATGAATAAAATAAAATTATTTATATTATTAGGAAACAGATCATTTTCAGTGCCTCCTGAAAGAGAGCAGAACAGAAGTAACACAACACAAAGAACAGAACAAGCCAAGATTAATTTAAACCAGTCCATCAGCATCAATACAGTGCGCTTCCTTGCAGCCACTGTCCAGAACAGTGCGACACTCAAGTATTCTGCAGTGCAGTTCTAGAGACACAATGCCCCTTTATTCTTTCAAGCAGTGGCATGAGAAGGCAAGATGTAGGAGGGAGAAAAAATCCTGAATCAAGCTGTTCAAATTCCACTTTTCCCAGATTCTAAGCCTGATCTTTCCTTCAGAGGAAACAGAATGAGGCCAAGCAAGCAAGTAGGCAAGCAGACGCTTTCCAAACAAGCAATCAGCCATCTCTCCAAGCGCTACTTGCTTCTGTACTGAAGGGGCCAGAACCAGGGTTATACTGGTTGGTGCATGCGCCTTGATGACTGTCCCTGTATTGAATAGTTGAACCTGCCCAGTTCCAGAGCTGCAATGCCACCCCATCCCTGACATCGTGCCAGCACACTTCCAAGCAGCCATCACTTCTCACATGGTGCTCTAGCACAGACGGAGGCCAACAACCATCTCATTGGGTCACTTGATGCTTGAGCAGGTCAAGAGCTCCTTGCAACCTGACTTCCACTCACCATACAAAATGTAGGTCCCGAGCGGTTTGAGAAGACCAAGGCCTTTGCCGGTATTTTCTCCACACAGACAGTCCAGGACAATATCTACGCCATCTGCAGAGATTCTGAAAAAAAGGAGGAAGGAATTTTGCCATAAGAAGCTTGCCAGTTCTAACCTTGTGAACTACAGAGGATACTTGCAGGAAGAATTGACATGAAAACAAGCAAACCAGCATATGGATTAGCAGTAGAACTCCATGGATGAAGGGCTTCTCATCACAGCTTATTCCTAGAGCTGTCCGAAGTATGGGGACTTCCACGTGGCTCCCATCTCACCTGAATGCATCAGCCAAATGCACTCACTGAGATGCCAGAAGCATTCGCATGCCTGGACCCTGTGGCTCAGGAGAGGCACTACTGGTCTAATATGGTCTGCATGTGGATCAGTGTTCACGATTAACAAGAAAAGCCTGCCCATATTCAGGCAAAAATGGGTCCTGCGACACTCAGCATCCCAGCCTGCTCCAGCCAGCTATCAGAATTTGTCTGCACTTTCCCCTTTCATTTGCCTGACGGATATGGCAGGACACGGGGCTGTCTTGCACGAGCCCGGCTGAAAGCAAAAGTACCATCCGGTGCTCTTAAAGCATCCGGTTGCTCAGCAACAGGAATACCTCGACTAAACAGGCAGGCACATGGGTCACCTGGTCAGCGTCTTCCCCACTGTGGTGACAGGTGCTGCATTTCTGCTTACATTTTGGTAATACATCTGAAGGTTCCGCAACCCATATAAAAGAGCATATGCAAATTTCATGGCACACGTCAATCTCTTTTCTCCCTTTTTGTGGGGGTGGTGATGCAGTTCTCATTTTTTGGAGATGAGTAACTGCCCCCCTAGGTTTGGATGTGAGGAGCTTTTCATCTGGAAAATGGAAATTTGACCTCCTTTCCCTCAGTACCATGGTCACAGTCAAGTTCTGCTAAACATTTTAAATAGCAGGAGTTTCCCCTGCTTTCATATCTAGCTGGACCTTAAGTACAGTTCTGATTGTGGACATATATCAGGCCAATTTCTGTCATGGGTTCATAACCAGATAATTTAAAAAATGAACCAGGAAGCCTGGAAGTACAAGTTGTTTACCTCTGCCGCAGGCTAAAGAGGAAGCAAGAAGAAATTTTAATCAATCATATATCATTGCTCTGACATTTTTATAGAGCAGAAAAGGAGCAGGGGCTATCCCAGAAGATAAATTAAGGTCCTACTATGTACGAACAAGGAAAGCAAGCAAGCAAGCAAGCAAGCAAGCAAGCAAGCAAGCAAGCAAGCAAGCAAGCAAGCAAAAAGAAAGAAAGAAAGAAAGAAAGAAAGAAAGAAAGAAAGAAAGAAAGAAAACAGGAATCCCAAGCATTTGAAATGGAGAAATGACTGGAGCAGCATGTTATCACTCTGCTGATCGGATACTGGCTGAAAGGACCCGACTGGGCATCGTTGCCTGATCTCCACACTCATGGCTTGCATGAAGGTGATGAGAGCCAGCTAGTGGTTGGTCTGGAAGTGGCAAGATGCACGCTCAGGCACCCACTCGGGCGCGGACCTCATTCTGACCAGTCCCTCTCTCTCAAACCAGAGAGCCTCAGGAGTGCCTGGCAGGAGGGGCTCGTGGATGTGATTTGCGAGTTACCCAGAAGCCTAACATGGCCTGGGCATTGTGCATTCTGGGTAGCTTGTTTACTACGGCAACTAGCCAACCTGGCCAGGTTCACCTGACATGGCAAGCCGCAGCAGCAAAGGCCACTGTGCAAGTCCCCCCAGGAGTGACTGAGACGTGCATCAGGACCCCTGCCTTGCCTCCTCCGCTGTGATCATGCAAAGAGGCCCTGCCAAAACTCAGATGTTTGATTCCCCTCCTCTTCCCTAAATAACGAATCCCAAGTTTGTAACTCTGGATACTAACCAAAGCTGTGAAATCCTGACATTAAGTCAAGTTTGGATGCTCTCTGCAATTATACAGTGTACCCACATCACTGACCACAGCAGTAGTCAAATAAAAAAAAATCACTTTAATTAAACAATTATGAAAAACCATTGGTGCAGTTATTATGTATAATTGTGCTAGAGGGAGACTGAAAGGCATAAGGTTTGGTGAGCAATTTCTAATCTACATAAGCAGCATTTATCTCATGATGATCATATTGTCTTAAATTGGCTGCCAGCAATTACAGTCAAAACAGAAGCTAAACTTTGTGACCTGAATAATATGTGTTCCTTCCAGCAGAAAACCTAGAAAAATAGCTGGCACTTGATGGTAGCTGCAGAAAAGCACGGGATATTACAGTATTGTGCAAAAGATAAAGTGATGTTATTCTGCATCTTTAGTTCCCCAAATTCTGCATCTTTAGTCTCCCAAAAGTCCCTAGAGCAACTAAGTGCTCAACAAATCATATTTAAAATATATTTAAATGATTCGATAGCAATAATTACAAGATTTAGAAAACTGCATGAAATTAGATGGATGGATGGATGATAGATTTATTTATTTAAAAGTTATCTGCCCCCTAGACAGCTGAAAACCATTTCAAGCTTTAAACAACTTGGGACCAGATTACCCGAAGGAGTGTTTTCCTATATTTACCCACCCAGAGTCTAAACTTCTCATCTGAAGAAGGGTTCAACACCTCTGTTGTGGAACATGGTTGGGTTCTCTCCTGGCTGCTGCCTTCATCTTGGTTTGCATATTGCTCTGGGTTTTATCTCTCTGCCTGGCCGTTTTGATGCCTCCCTACTTTTTGTTTTTAATTCAAATGCTGCCCAGAGAACATTATGGGATGGTGTAAAATGATAGTTACAAACAAACAGCTCTCCCTCCCTGCCAAGTTATTTTCATTGTCATCATCACTATCAGTCAAAAAGAGCGTCAGAAATATCTGCCATCTAAATATACCATGGAGAATTGCTACACCTTCGGAAGCAGTCGGTGACCGCACTTCCACAGTCTCAGTGCAGTCCTCTGCATTCACATGGTGGGAAGAAAAGCAGCAGAGCCGTGTCAGGGTACAAGCCCACCCCTGCTGCCTTGACGGGGGCTCGCCTGGAGGAACCACGCCCAGCAAGGGTTCACTGACACGAGTCCCAGGTCTTGCTGCCCCACTTCACCACTGCACCCTGCTTGCCTACCAGCTGCTCACTCTGGCTCGCAGGGACCAGATGGGGACGTGGGAGAAGACAGGTCTACTTGCTCGCTGCTGGTCAGACAAACAAGGAACGGCCAGGAGAAGAAGCAGCAGTTGGCGGCAGTGGTGGTGGGACAGTAACCTCACGGAGGGAGGGTGTCTTGCCCCAGAGCCCTCCAAACCCGGACCCAACAGTGCTCCGTTTCATTTCTAGAACATTGTGGCATCTCATTAGTGCCTCTGAGGTCCAGCCTGCCGGTGCAGTTGCTGCAGTAGCCACCCACACAAGAGGGCGCTATCTGCAGGTTCCAAGAGTCTTCTCCAGGAGGTGGGGAATTGTATGCATAGCACAATGAGACCTGGGCATGCTCAGCGGCTGTAGGATACTGAATGGCTTCCTCATCATGGCTGCAGTAGCCATGATGAGGAAGAGAGCAGAGAGCTATGGGTGTGCACGAAAGCTAGTTTGGGAGGGAAATGGAACGGAAAGGCACAGACTATTGAAATTTTTGCCAAATGTTACAGCAGTGTGAAAATGGAACCAATGGCTTAGGGAGTTGGTGGGCTCTCCCACAGTGGAAGTAGTCAAGGTGCAACTGGACAGTCAACTGAGAGGGATGGGAATTGTGTACTAGGCAGGGGGTTGAACCAAATGTCTTTCTTGGCCCCTTCCAGAACTACTATTCTATGATTCTACGTCCACATAGCCATGGTCACCAGTTGCTACAGCTCCTTCTCCTCTTCTTCATAATTGGTGCCACCAGCTCAGCAGGGAGAGAGCCCTCTTCCTTCTCATCACCACCACTTCCTGGGCCAGAATGCAAGGCAGGTGGACAAGCAGCAAAGAGAAAGAACTCCAACTCCAAAGGGCTCTTATTGGGAGGCTCCTACTGGAATTCAGGCCTTTGACAGGTGCCCACAAGCATCATAAGAAGAACTAGGTTGGATCAAACCATTCTGTGCACACAGTGGCCCACCAGTTGCCCATGGGGAACCAACAAGCAGGACATGAATACAATATTTCCCTCCGATTCGTATTCTCCAGCAACAGGTGTACCTGGAGGTAGCATATGCAAAAGCAGCAGCCATTAACAGTCTTGTTCTCCACAAAGCTGACTAATTCTCATCTGAGTGGGATGGTGTAATTTGGTGTCCTTCAACAGCAGGGGGTTGGATGTGATGGTCTTCATGGTCCCTTCCAACCCTTCTCTTCTATGAGTCTATGAAATTCATGGCCATAACTACATCGTGTAGCTACTGCAGTTAATTCCATGAGCTGTATGAAGATTCACGGTTCTCACATTGGAAATGAGAGCTCCCAAAGGACGGTTATTTGGGGAAGGGGTTATAATCACATATACCTATTATCTTGTGTAAATCCTACATCATAGGAATACACAACCACATCCTGAAAACTAGCTCACATTTGTTAGCCCCTTGCTTGCTTTTACAGTAATTTTCAACAAATAAAATAAAAATGAACTTTCTTACTTTTTAACTTCTTGGACATAATCTGCATTTCGGTCAAAGAGGTGGGTTACTGAGTCTTTGATTGCCTCGTGCTTGAAGGAGGAAGCTGTTCCAAAGATGGTAACATTGGGAACCGTTGAGCAGAGCTGGGCAACAGCTTGTCCCTGCAAATGTACCAGTGCATTAGCTTTTCAGACAAATCAGGCCTTCCATCTGACACTCTGTTCATTCATGGCTCCTCTTACATAACCAGAGAGGATCCCAGGAGAGATTGGCAGGGAGGCAAAGTTATCAGCAGAAGCCTCCCCCAGCAAGGCCTCACAGGGTCACCTGCCACCAGCTGCCCTGCAGGGCAGGGCCTGATGACTTCTTGCAGGTTGGTATCTTTTCTGCAGTTTGAGAAAATGTGCTTCGAAGCTTTGTGCAAGCTACCTTGGAAGGATTTCTATCCTGAATGGCTGGGTATAAATTACAAAACACAATAAAATAAAGCACTCGGTGCTGCTGTGGCAGCTTGGAACATTAAGTTCTGCACAGTCATTATGTCACATCCTGCCTGTTATTGTCTGTGTTAAGGGAGCAAATTGCCTTGCCACTAAAGTGTATCGGTAAGATCTGCCATTTGTAGCCTGGGAACGGCCCAAATGTGATCGGGAGTGAGTGAATGAGCGGAGCCGCATCCAAGTGGGCATCTGACAAGGGTCCACAAGGGCACAATGGCAAAAGCCCCATTAGAATTAGTCCTCCCTTTCACCAGGGCAACCTGCTGTTCCCCTGTCTCTTTGGAGATGCCATGGCCACCTCAACCACCACATCTCTGCCTGTCTATCAAGCAAGTGGCAGCCATGATGAGGAAGAGGATGGAGACCAATAGCCGCTGCTGACAAGAGTGGCTCACTCAGGGAGGGCTGTCTCATCCTCCAGGACCCTCAAACCCTGGAGTCAGCGCCGAGGGAGCTGCACTCTCCTGATATCCGGTTACCTACTCCGTAGCCCACTTCACGTGCTCAGAGCTGGGGATGTGGTGGGAGAGGGCAAGGGACTGCACCTGCAGAAGCTACCCCTGCCCCACACATGGACCGGGGGGACACAGCTACCTGTGCAACGCTTGCCCATGTGCGGCGGCGGTGGTCCTTGGCTTCACACAGGCCAGAAGCAAGGCTGGTTCCTGCAATCTTATTTTCCTTGTTTGCTGTGAGCATGAAAAGACTTCTACTGTAGTTACTAAAGTCATAAGATCAATAGACCATGTTGTGAGCTGCTCTGTAGGAGTCACATTCACTCCTATGGAGCACCAATTTGCGCTTTGCTTCGCTTCGCTTTCTAAGTATGACATGCAACCACCCTTGCATTTACTAAAAAGAAGCTTTCTTTTAGAATAGCTGCACAGGAGCTTCCAGCATTGTATACACATGCTTTTGTTTTAGCCTTTCATAATTGATTTATCATGGCTTTTTGTATTTCTTTAGTTGTTTAAAATTTTGTTAATAGAAAAGCCACAACTATACATTTTTGAGGTATTCACAGATCAATTTGCAGGGCAAAATCTTTCACAAAGCTTCGTAGAAAGCAGAGAAAGATACATCGCTACATTGGACACATCGGATCATCATGGTTGACTGACTGAAAGCAGAAGGTAACCATTAGCGGGGAATCATCGGGATGGCGGCCAGTGACAAGCGAGGTCCCCCAGGGCTCTGTCCCGGGGCCGATCCTGTTTAATCTTTTCATCAACAACATGGAAGGAGGGGTGAACAGTCTGCTGATCAAATTCGCAGATGACACTAAAACTGGAGCAGTGGCCACAACTGAGGAGCAGATACTCCAGGTCCAAAAGGATCTGGGCAGACTATGGAAGTGGGCAGGAGACAACAGGATGGCGTTCAATGGGGATCAGTGCGAGGTCTTGCACTTGGGGCATAGGAATGGGTGTCATAAGTACAGGTTAGGGGACAAGTGGCTGGAGAGCAGCACTTGTGAAAGGGACCTCGGGGTGCTGGTTGACTGCAGGCTAAACATGAGTCAGCAGTGTGATGCGGTGGTCAAGAGGGCGAACGCCACCCTTGGTTGCATAGCCAGATGTGTGGTTTCTAGATCAGGAGAGGTATTACTACCACTCTATACGACTCTGGTGCGCCTGCAACTGGAGTATTGTGCTCAGTTTTGGGCCCCTCATTACAGGAAGGTTATAGCCAGGTTGGAGTCAGTGCAGCATAGGGCCACAAGGTTGGTGGCCGGTTTACAGGGGATGCCATATGAGGCGAGACTGAGGGAACTGGGTCTCTTCAGCCTGGAGAAGAGGAGACTCAGAGGGGATCTGTTGGCGACATACAGGTATGTGAGGGGATGTCACATGGAGATGGTAGAGACCTGTTCTCCCCTACAGAAGAAGGCAGGATGCACTCCAGCGGAGCAAAGCTCAGGGAGCCAAGGTTTCATTTGGATGCCAGGAAGCATTTCCTGACAGTTAGGACCCTGAGGGTGTGGAATGGGCTTCCACGGGAGGTTGTTGAGGCCCCATCGGTGCAGGTGTTCAAGGATAGGCTGGACGTTCACATGGTGGGCATGTCATGAGCGGAGCCAGCGGGTGCCGGAGGTCAGACTAGATGGCCCGGGAGACCCCTTCTGACTCGCTCTGTTTCTATGTTTCTGTGTTATCTGATGAGTTCCTCTATGAGGTTTGGGCTCTGACTTAGAGAGGGGGGAACTGGTATTTCTGTGGGGGGGGGTTCTACAGCAGCTGGGACAAGAGGGGCGATCCTCTTCATGAAGAAGAGCAACCCTTTCTCTGGAGCCAGCGTTGTCTGAAGCTTGGCTCTGGGAAGCCACGTCATGGCTAAGTGTTTTCCAGTTCCAAGATCAGAGAGCAAAAGCGACATTTCCAGGTGAATGGCTTTAATGACAGTGGGCTGCACAGCTGGGCTTTCAGTCTGTGGTGATCCCCCATCCATCATGCTGCAGACAGAGGCTGCTGCAGAAGCAATGGGAGACTGGGGGGAGACCGTATGAAGCACATGCTTTAGACGCATGGCTCCAGGGCCAGGCCTTTGCCAGGTCCAAATCCTGCATCTCCACTGGGGATCGGGCAAGAGGTACGGGCAAACATCATCCGCCTGAAACCTGGAGCTCTGAGCAGCCAGCACTGGGCTAGAAGGCAGCTTCCGGAAGGCCTTAAATGCAGCATTGGTATAAGGTTTTCCTATCCCTTGTTGGAGCCACATTTTCCCCCTTTATAATGATGTTATGACTGCCAGACTTTGGCTGGCTATTAAAATATTCTTAGCTGCAGACTGGCATCTGTAATTTATCATGAGTGAAAACCATGCTGACTTGCTCCACTCACAAATTCTGATCCTTTTAACAGAAATATTCATGATGGCTTCTTGGAGTAAATGTGGTCCACTTAACTAGATAAACCCTCCTTCTGTATAAAAGGAAAATGGGATACAGTTTTTGGAGGGCGACCTCTCTGCTGACTATAACAATGGGACATTGTTCTATTAGAGCTCTCATTATAATCATACTTAAGAGACTTGAAGCAAGGTCAGCAATATGTCAGTGCACAATAAGAAATGGGAATGCAGAACAGATTATAACCTAAGCAGGCAACTGAGCAAAGAAGAAGAGAAAGGAAGTATTGTTAGAAATGAGCCCATCCTGCGCATGCCATAGAACCCTATTTATATGCCAAGGAGATCCTCAATATGCCCTCAATATTCATCTGAATACATTTACTAAAATGTGAAAACTGCGTAAAATTGAGTTTATTGCAAAGCATGCAGTTTGTTTTTAATGGAGGGGGAATTTTGGACAGATCTGTTATTTCTGACCTGTTCAGGAACTCGGTTACTGCTAAATCAGGGTGAGTGGAAAAAATGCATCATTGGCTAGTGGAAACCTCAGCTGATGTGTGAACTCTGTGGAGTTGGCAACTGTACGATTCAGAAGAGTCACTGTTCAGAGTAGCACCCCTGCATTTCTTTCTCCTGCTAGGCTCTGCAGTATCTAGCAGATAGATGTACAAATCATCATTTCTGAAGTCCCTCCATGGTGGTCATGTTGGGCAAGGAAACATCACATAATGTTTCAGTCCTCAGGTGGAGCAGAAGGGTCAAATCCTTGGATGCTCCCCCATATGAAAAACCTGTAGACAAGGAGAAGGGGAATCCTGATTCCTAGCTTAAACACAAAGGCCCTGGACAACTCGCACAGAATGGGAAAGCCATAATAACCTTAACCAACATTGCTCAGCAGTATGATGGAAAGCTGAAGTTTTAGGAATTCCAAACTCAGGAGGGGTTCTCAGATGAAGAGAAGAGGAGACTCCGAGGGGATATGTTGGCAACATACAGGTATGTGAGGGGATGTCACATGGAGATGGATAGAGACCTGTTCTCCCCTGCAGAGGAAGGCAGAACATGCTCCAACAGAGCAAAGCTCAGGGAGCCAAGGTTCTGTTTGGATGCCAGGAAGCACCTCCTGACAGTCAGGACCTCGAGGGTGTGGAATGGGCTTCCTCGAGAGGTGGTTGAGGCCCCATCGGTGCGGGTGTTCAAGGGTAGGCTGGACATCCACATGGTGGGCATGTCGTGAGCAAAGCCGGCTGGTGCCAGAGGTCAGACTAGATGGCCCGGGAGACCCCTTCTGACTCGCTCTCTTTTCTATGTTTCTATGAAGTGCTAAAATGCATACGCGCGGGCTTCAAGGATGGTGCATCAGATTCCTGGGCTCAGCCAGTTTGCACTCAGAAGGGATACCCAATACGTGCAGGGAAGACAAGCAGCGTACGCAAGGAGCAAGTGACCTCGCCGCTGTCCCAGTTCTGAAGGTCAAGTTCAAACATGCGCCTTTCCCTTTCCAGGCTGCTCCTGCTGTTTTGAGCATCCTCTGATGCTGGACTTGAAACCAGAGGTCAAATTGCAGCTTGAGAGCAATCAATGCTTCTGCATGAATGCCAGTTTAATTTTAGCTCCCGGGGGAAAAAATTTCAGTTCAAAAAGTGTCAATGGATAGCAAGGTTTGGTTTGGAGCCAAACTAGATTTGGCACTGATTGCATGCATGAAATTAGTTGACAGGGCTTTGTTTTTAAAGGTAAGTAGCACCTGCAGAAGGCTGAGGATGCAGCCCCTTCTACCCACACCACCTGCTCCCACTACAATGACA